TTTCCCTCTTCTCTTCCCCTCGAGCAGTTGGAGCAAACACAAGCTTTGCAGTAAGGAATAAATGCCATTTACCCCTAGAAAAGGTCATTTGAAGCTGCTGAACTGTGGGTAGCAGATTGAGTTTGAAAAGCCCATTTATCCAGTGTCTGTAGCTCTTCAGTTTTCCTGGGAAAGATGAGGCTGAGGGTGCTTTGCTTCCACAGCTGGAATCACTGGCCTGGCTCACAGGAACTTGGGGCAAAACTGTCATGGGGAAAAGGTTTTGTCCTCCAGCAGGAGGACAATGAAGGAGGGGCAGCCCAGGGTGGCCTGGGGCTTGTTGGGAGAGTAGGGGAATATCAGACATTTCCTAATACAGAGAGAGTAGGGGGATATCAGGTATTTCCTGCTGGGGATAACCAGGCATCTCCTGGGACAGGAGTGGTTTGGTTATACTCCTGGAATTCCCAAGCTGAGGGTCCATGGAAAAACAGAGTCACCTCATCCCCACATGAAAATAGTTTATTTTGGTTGCGAATCTGTAATTGTCTTAAAACAAAACTGACATCAGTGCCTGTTCACAGATACAAATCAAAAAAAAAGAGACAAAAAAACACACCCAAAATTAAAATTAAAAAAAAAAAAAAGACATGTTTGCCAAATAAGTTAATTTCCCCTCCCCAGTATCAAAAGTGCAAAATATGTACCTAGTTTGCAGTCCTGCTTCTCGGGCTGTTGGTGCCCTGGCTCTCTGGGTGCTCTGCAGGGGAGGCAGCCCCTGCACTCTGGCTGCAGGGAGGAGTTTTTTGGTACAGCCCTTCAGTGGGGGCCTGGATCAGCTTGGGATTGCTGTGTGAGTACTGGGATCTCACTGGAATAGTGCACTGGGGCTGGATTGACTCAGTCTTTGGGATGCAAACCAGCAGAAGGGTGGGGTGGGCCGTGGTGCGGTACCCCTGGAGGTGGCAGGGTAGGGAGTTACTGGGGAGTGGTGACTGCCAGGAGAGGACAGATGGCTCTCCTACAAGGAGGTGAGCACCCAGTGCTCCATGAGGGACACCAAAGGTAGCTGAGTGAGGGGGTGAGAACAGCTGCTTCAGCCCATGAGAGAAGTTTTTCCATAAAAGAGCGACACAAGCAGAGTCTGACCTGGTTAAAGGAGGGGAAGGGCAGAGTTAAAGCTCAACAGGAACCATCTCAACTACTGCTGACCAGGGTGGACTGCTCCAAGCACTCCTTAAACAAGGCTCAGGCTAAAAGGGGAGGTTATCTGTGCTAAAAAGAAAATTTAAACAAGGATTGCAGCAGTTGTGCAGCACACAAGTGTGTTTTGAAGGCCCTACCTTACTACTTGGGGCAGGGCTGAAAGCACAGCTAGGCACTTCTTCCAACTTGTCAGGGGTTGTTCTTCTGGTTACTGACTGGCTGAAGAGACATCAGAGACTCAGAGAGTATTATTTTTTGCTTCTGCAAGCATTTAACAAAAAAAAAATGATGTGGAGCCTTCCACAGGGCTACAACCTTATTCTAACCACGTCCTGCACCAGGGGGGGAAGCACAAGAGTGCGATGACCCAACAAAAATGAAATCTAGCAGCACCAGGCTGGGCTTTCATTCCCCCTGCTGCTCTATTGCAGCAGTACAGATGCACCTCAGAGCTCCTGGGCAAGGAGAAGACCTTGTCTTCCTTCCCTCTGCTTCAGTGCCTCATTCGTGCAAGCTGCTGAGCTCAAAGGAAGCAACCTCAGGGAAGGTGGGTTGGAAGCATGGCAGCCTTTATTTGGAAGTACATTTACACAGGGAGTTGGGGAGAGTTGTGGTGGTGGTGGCATCATGCCCATCTGCTCCCAGGGCAGGGGGAATGCAGCAAGCCAAGGGTTTGTGAGCAGCTACCTGATGGAGGCAGTAACATGACTTGAGCATTCCTGGATTTTGTAGGGGATGGGCAGCAGGCTCAGAGCTGGGAGCACTGCTAGAGCAGAGGAACCAAACCCTGGGCCTGATGGCTCTGCTACCTTCACACAGACTTCTAAAAGAGGGGGGGGGGAAAAAACAAACCCTCAACTGCAACAAAGAAAGACACAAGGCAGCAGCAACCTGTGTGTTGAGAAACCAGGTCTTGTGGCAAGAAGGGGACAAGTGTCTGAGCCCCACAGGGAAGCGATGGTTGGATGGTACCAGCACTGCTGGGGCTTCAAGAATACAAGTGACAAAGGATTAGGTTCCTTGATACAAAGAAAAGTTGGTTTGTACTACAGATGTCAGGGTGTTGGAAAGGAGCCCAAACTGACCCCCCTAGCATCTAGGTAGAGGTTTGTTTTTTACACATCTACTGGCTCATAGCAGCTTACACCTACAGTCTGAGGTCACAAACTTATGGCCCTAGGAGACATCATCTAAACTCGACAGAAGCAGAAAGGCATCTGAAGAAAACAATGTGACATTTAAATGGCTCAACACCTTTACAGTAGTTATGGCCGTGCAAAAGCCCTTCCCTCCCTGGTTATGATCTGGCTGGTGAAGCTGCACGTGGAACAGGAGGAGCATGAACCATGGAGATCACCTACGAGCCCATACCACAGGTGAGTCCCAGCTACAGGTTTGCTATGAGGGAGAAGCTCCCAACTCTAAATCACTTACCATGGGGAACGCTGACAGAGCAGGACTGCCTGGTGGGAGGAGGCCCTGTGGGGAGGGCAGGGCCTGGGAGGGTCTGCAGGGTCTTGCACCATGCACCATAGGCCAAGCAGATGGGGAAGGGGAGAGAGAACCATGACCTGACCTGCATCACCGGCCGCGTTCGTCCCAGGCCGAGTCACCACGGCAGAGAAGTCACAGGTTGTTCTTCAAATGAGGCAAAACAAGAGATGGAACATGGGGTGACTCAAGAAGCAGATGTGGCAGGACAAGAAGGGAAAAACAGACTTCTTGGCTCTTCAGTAGTAGGGTGTCCAAATGCAGGAAGGAGTTGGTGGAGGGAATTCCGGCACGCTCGGTTGCGCTCCCGGGCTCCGGACACGGGGAGATATTTTCTAGTCGCTGGCCCGAGGAGAGTTCATCTAAAACCTAAGGTCCATTTGTCACACTTGTGTGTGTGTGTTCCTGGAAAGAGCTGGCCCTTGTCATCTTCATAAAAAGTTTGTCTGTTAGAATCTCTTTAAAATCCCTCAGTCTAGCGCGGGCCACGAAGGGATATAGAACCTCTGTAAGGAGCCCTCCAGGAGCCGCTCCATCCAGAAGGACAATTTGTGTAATTTGTTTTTAATGGATCTAGATCCTGGGCTGCAGGAGGATTTCCCTCTGGCTTCTGTGTGTAGTGAGGAATCATAATCCTCACCCGATCCCAGGGTCCCCCCCTCGTCCCCTGCTCTGTGGGGCTTGAAGAGGCAGAAGTATTTCTTGTGGCCGTTCAGGGCCAGGACGTAGCCCGTGTAGTCGCGCTCCAGGAAATGCTTGTCGTACTGGTTTGGGATGGGGGCTGCATCCTGGGCAAACTCCAACAGGTACTCCAGCCATCCTCGGTGCTTGTCCAGGCTGAGGAAGGAGAAATGGAGAGAGCTGCTCCTGGGGGAAGAGCAGAGAAACAGGGTTAGCAGATCTCCTAAGTCAGGACCGACTCCTACTGGACAGGGACGCGTTTGCAGACGAGGGCAGGCACGGTGCTGTGTCACCACAGCTCCCAGTTCAGCACAGGTGACAAGGACCTCATGTGCAGTGCTGCTGTGCTCTCTGCTGGAATGTGGGTCCAGCCAAAGTGGCCACAGTGCCAGACCTTCATCAAGCAGGGTTAGGAAAGGCCACTGGTTGCCACTAATGAGTGTAGAGGCTCACCAGAAGTGTCCCCTCCTGGGAGTTGAGCCAACACTACTCCTAACTTGTCACCACAGCAGCATTACCCAAGTTGTGAAACCAGTAACAGAAACCCAGGAGAGGGCCCCTGCCTACCCTGTGAAGGTGTAGACTTCCAGGGCAAACTTCTGGAGGAGGGCAGTTTTGGTGGAGTTGGACAGGATCAAGACCACATTCATGTGACCTGGCCTCAGGCGCACCAGGTTACTGTTGTAGTTGATGTCTGTGAGCTCAGTCACCTCAACAAAGCCCTTCTTGGGAATCCTGCTGCAACAAAAACAGTGACAGAGTGAGAGGGGATGGAGGGAACAGGAGCAGCTGAAGATGGAGAAACCTTGAGCTCATTCCCTCACACCAAACTGTCCCTCTGCCCTGGAGCTAAAGGCAGGTTAATCAGTGGAACAGCCAGACTTGGCTCTTCCTCAGCTACTCAGACCTTCTAACCTTTCCCTGAGGATTTTGTCTGGGACAGACAGTGGGAATCACTTCATTATGAAGTTTGTGCACCCCTGTTCTGGCTGTGCCCAGCTCAGACACTTCTCTCTGTGCTCTCACTGCACAGATGCTCCCTGAGCAGCAGAGTTCACTCAGCAGAAGACATTTCTGGAGAAACTGGAGGAGGAACCTGTTACTCTCTTTGCTGAAGCTGGTGTCATTCTTCTCAGTCTTTGTGGCAGTTTCTTCTTTCTCAGAAGGAGGAGAGTCCCTTGTGTCACTCGAATCACTGCAAGAGAAGATTATTTTGTGTGTGATTAAGGTGCCAGATTGGCCTGAGCTGCATTGGTTGGGCCATAAGATCTTTTTGGAGGTCCTGGCACTCACCTGAAAGCCTGGACAATAACAGTGCCAAAGAGAATGAAGAGGGCAGAGAAGAGCAGGGACAGCAGTGGCATCATTTCTCGCCTGAGGGGACATTTGCAAACACCAATCAGATCCCTGAGTTGTGCAGTTCCCACTCAAATTTCAGTTCCTCTCCACCTCAGGGAACACCAGTGAAGGTTCCCCAGAAACTCAGCTCCTTTTCTGGGGTCTTAAAGGTGATGGAGACTTTGAGCACTGTCCTGCTCCCACCAAAAGGAAGGGAACAAAACCAATTTGAAAATAAAGACAAGAAGGAAGTGCTGAAAAACAACTGATCCTTGTTTTC